ACACAAATTGTCTAACCAATGATCTCTGTTATCGAGCCGACTACAACCAAATAGTCTGCATCTACTTGTGTAGATTAGACTAACAGTCAACAAATTCATAGATTGATGTCATGTTTTGGTTTGGCCGTTACCATCATTCTTTCAACCTACTTCTACACTAGAAAATACCGCACACTGAAGTGAAGTTCGACATACGTAGAACCTTTAGTGCTTTAAATACAATAGATACAAATAGATAACTCATCAGACAAGTTGACTGTACATAATCACTCATATAAATGTCAATAAATAATACATGCGTTGACCTATTACTTAAACTTATGATTCATAACCATCTTTTTAATAAGCTTAGAAGGTCCATGTGATTTATAAGTACAATTAATTCAAGCAATGAATAGAAAGATGTTGGCTTTAATTACTACTAAAATCATAGGTATATACTATTGACAAATTCCAATCTAGAACGAAATCATTGTATAATGGTCACTCCTTTGTTTTTTATGAGTGTTTACTTAAAATTAGAAAGATTGATTCAGCGAAGAGTTCTCTTTTCGGCGAAGTCATTTGCAAAGCTGTACAATCGCAAATAAATACTTTAACAGGATGATAATGAGGAGGCAACAGCTCAATAAGAAGTTCAATAATCCAACACCTAGTGAACTCAGATCACTAAATCAAAACAGACTCTGTGTTCAAAGTGATCTACAAGGTAAGTAGAAGTCTCCCAAAAACAATTAGACTGCATCTTCTTTGCATTGCCGAATTATTAGCCATACATCTAGAAGAACCAGAATTGTGTGTCCAAAAAAGATTGGTACAACCTCTTCTTCTACCATGGTCTTAATGTCTTACAATACTTTTTCTCATTTTTATACTCCTCTTCATTTACAGCCATCTACTTCACTTTTCATCTTCCCCTTAAATTTTCTAACCCCCAACTGGTTTATCTCTGTTTCTACGATCCTCCTGATTACCTTTAATCTCAATTTCAACATTTTATCTTTCCCAATTATAATTTCCCTATCTATCTTTTGATGAAGATTTAAGCCATTCACAATCAAACAGTTATTAAACTTTCCTTGTTTTAAATATTTTCATATCTTTGTTTATTTAACCTCACTGTCACCATGTCTAACAGAAGTTTATTATCATCTTGAAAACATAAGTATCCATATTTACGATTGTATAGCTTTGAAAATGAATTCGCCGAAAAGAGAACTCTTCGCTGAACTAATCTTTCTTATTTAATGTCTTAATGGGTGTATTATCCTATAACTTGAGTCATTTTCAATACATACATATGATGTTTAAGGAGTTGCATTTCTCACAGTAGATGTTAAGGATTCCAACTGACCCGTCTCTATTGATGAATGTACATCCTGAAAGGATTCTGTTGATATGGTTAATTTAGTTGTAACTTCTTGTTTAATCTCAATAACCCGAAAGCAGTGAAAAAAGAAAATAGAAAACCTTTTTTTTCAAGCCCCCGTTACTATCCCCCCCTCCTTATCATTTATGCTAGAGTAGTACTTTTATAATATGACTAGTCATGTGATTCATTCACATTCTGAGACGTATAAAAGATAGATAGTTAGATCAACAAAAGTTGGCTAAAGTTCATGAGAAAAATCGGTTATCACAAGATGATCACGTTTTTATAGAAATAAATATAAACGTATATTGCTGACAATATATGGTTATTTATTTATTGATGATCAATTTATATTAGGTCAAGGGAGGTTTTTATATAATTTAAATTAAGTCAGTCAGTTAGTCAGCTACAACGTAGGACCAGGCATATATAGGCATCGATCCAAGTTGCAATACCCCACATTTTTCCATTGTGTGGAGAGAGTATCGCTGCAGATGTTGAATGTATGAGAGAAACATATTACTGTCGTCACACACTCATACAATCGGCAGTACAGCTTCGTTCTTGAAATTCAGGTGATTACATTTAGTCTTATTGCTGTCCAATCAAACTGGCTTTCGCTGTAGGACCTAAATTAATGAATGTTCCAATCAATACAGCTCGACTAAGTCATCACATTAAGAAAGTCCAACCACTACGTCACTGTAGCAGCAATCGTAATGAGTTATAGATTCTAAATGAAGTTATGTTATAGCCCATTTATCAAGTATGATTTCCTAATGTTTCTCCTGTAGGCCATACACTCTACTTGTGAAAGCTCAAAGAAAAGAAGATGAAGGACAGGATTCGAAATTTTAACCGATCAGTTGAAAACCAACAGTTCTAACAAGTATTAGGCGTATTGCTTCATAACAAATTAAATAATGATAGAAATCAAATACATTCGCTTTATTGTTGGTCACCAGCTACCATGGGACTGCATCCCATTACGTTGTTCAGATCTTTAGGTCAAAGGCTTCGGGTGTGATCCCCCAAAGAAAACCACCTGCTTCAGTTTCGACATCCGAGCAGTATCCTAGCCCTCACACAAATCGAATGATTTATGTGTTGCATATCTACTTAGTGCCTTCTTGTACCTATGTTTGTGTATTTAAATAAATAAATAAAAATGAAACAGAATCAAACGAGAAATAGTAATCTAGAAATAAGCATGGAATATATCTATCACCCTTTTTTAAATTGAGCATTGTAAGTCAGTCAGTTAATCAGTAATAGATACTATGAATAGTAAACACGTCTACACGTATTTGACTGCTATCTATACACTCACTATCGAATGAATAACAAGCATATTTTAATGTTTAGCATCGAACAAAATAAACAGTAGTGAAATGCAGAGTTGCAATTCAAATCAGTCAATCAGCTACAACGTAGGACCAGGCACATATGTGCATCGGTCAAAGTTGTCACACCACAGTACCACAATAAAATGAACACCGGATTCATAGAAGTAGTTTCTTCAATGCTAGTAATGTGTAAAAGAAAGATTGCTTCTAAGGATATCTTAAAGGTAGAAAGAATTAGTTGGTAGAGAGAAAGATATGAAGTGATTTTAATCTCATAGTTTAAAGGAAGACAGAGAGTGTATACACCTACACCATTGTGATCGATTCTGAGTCATGTCATCTACAGTCTCCAACCATTGGTTACGATAGTCATGTAGACGCCAACCAAGTAGTCTGCATCTACCAACATGGTTAACACTAGAAGTTAGTGACTTCAATGACACTTCAGTGCCACGTTTTGGTTTGGCCGCCCCTAACTTTCTCCCAACCATCCCCAACACAGCATTCCGTGTCGTGATAATCGGTGTTCAGGCAAACGTAACACGTGGCCCAACCATCTCAGTCGATGAATATTAACAGCCTCATCAACTGATTTAACATCGTTCCCTAATATTCTTAGTGGACACGTTTCTCAGCCGTAAAGTAAAGCAGAACGAACTGCCGTGCAGTATAGTCATCCCTTAATTGATAGACGAATATCTCGCCTTCACCATAGGTGACGTGAGTTGGCAAAAGCCAAACTGAAGCTCAAAGGGAGATATATTGTTTAGAATAACAATGAAAGCATTAGAATCAAAGTATTTTTAGCTCAAAGAATACTATGATCACAAATGAAATAAGTATCTATGTGGTTATCATAAATGAGATACTTTAAACAGATAAAACAACTATAGAGATCAATAGAGATTAAAGTTTTAAAGTGAATCAAACTAATAGTAATGATTTCATTCAAATATTCCATAATGATGTAATAGATGAACTCGGAACAAACCAAAATATTAAATAAAATTAGAAGAAAAATAAATAAAAGATTTAATCTTATTTCAATTATAAAAATGTTGCTATGTAAATAGATGACAACTATTTGCATTCCATGAAATCATTGATACATACCTTGAGTATGACATTGAACAAAACTCATTGCTTAACACATATTCAAATTAGGATAACAGTATTAAAATCCGACAGTGATGTAATATCTTTGACCTTTAAATCTTATAGTGATTACATTAGTAACTATTTGAATTCATACTTCCTGTTTTACAATTACTAGATCAATAGGTTTTGAGATGAGATGATGAGTGATATTATTAGAGATTAATCACATTGACACAGATGCACTCACTATTATTGTATCCCGATCGCTGTTACTACCTTGACATGGTGGTCGGGATTGTCTATCGTGATGAAGCAATCGAGCTATATTGGTGAAACAATCGTTCCTCGAGGTCCTACTATACCAGACAAGTCAGTTGAAGAATGGTAAGACTAAAAATATTAAACACAAGGTCCGAAGGCAAAGTTGTACAGCTGACTGTACAGAGGTGTGACGGTTACGCTCTCAGGTCACTAAGACCAGCCCTAATCCAATTTCCTTTTCAGATACTTCCAGAAGAACCTTTCCATGGTGTAGGCAACCGGAAAGTGATAACCGCCCTCATACCTCTATCAGCACTCAAGACCAATGTATTCATAAACTACCTTTCAAGACTGACTATTAGTGTATATCACTTTTGCCTTCTTCAATTTACTTACTTTATATCACACAATATTGTTCTCTACGTTCGATATATTTCGCAATCACAAACACTGATATTAGTACTCTCTCTTCCTCTCTCTGTGAGTACAGCTTATGTAACTACCTTCACAGGAATTGATATGCAAACGTTGAGGAGGATATTATAGGCATCACTGTATAAGCATAACTTTGGTTGAAAAGACAATATGAAACGTGACGGTTTTAAATGTTCTTTCAACAGATCTTTTAAGTTAATATGATAAGATATGGCCCATTATGCCTCTTTTAAAATCGATTCATAGATAAAGGTTTATTTTCTTACTGACCATGTCAGCTTGTACTCTAATTGTCAGTTTAGAGAAATACTTTTGAGAAAATTAGTCAGATAACCGTTGTTTCATAGAATATTGTCTAATTTATTTATTTCTTCATCCATATTATCCTGAGAAAATAGAATAATCTGGTAACTTATTGATACCGAAGAATAGAAAATGCATTCAAATGTACAGTATTCAACAACATAATTTAATGAATTAAAGCTTACTTTGTGAGAAATTAGCCATTGGAAAGTCGAATGAATTTTCTGATGAGAAGAAGGAAGAAGAAGAGGGACGTGATGATGATGATGATGATGAATGTTTCTTTTGTCGATGATTAATCCATTCACCCCATAAATCTACATCATTACCAAGTTTGTGACACAAGTCAAAACGTGAACGACTTTGTGGTGTAATTTCCATAGTATTTGCAGGCACAACATCATGATTACCTAATACAGGTAGAATGTAAACTTCATCCACTGGAAATGATTGTTTTAACGCTTCACTTATTAACCGGATGCCATCCAAAAGTTGATCGGATGTCAAACTGTCATCATGTGGCCCATTATCACTAGAGGGTGGTCAGTAAACAAATGATAAAATCAAGAAAACATGAAAATAACCACAAATTTTGGTTACTTTCAAAGTGTTACAAGAAAACCTTTCTTTAATTGAGTTAGAATCAAATTTTGAATCCCTGGAAACAGAAGAATACGATTAATGGATGACATATAAACCTTATTTAAGAATACATGAGGGAAAATGTATCAGGTACTCTAGGGTTTTCACAGACAGATTTGATTGTTTTACGATGACTTTACAATAACCAGACTCGACATAAATGTACATAACAATCTAAAGTGTTAGAATTCATAAAAGCAAAAGTGATATGATCAAGATTAATGATACGAGGAATAATAGAAAGTTGAGACGGAAATAATGCAAAATTAAATGAGATCTTGTTATAATTCTATTGCTTCGTAGTATACCTTGGACACTGCATCACTTGTTTTGTCCGAAATCATAACAACAATTAGAAGTGAATAGTAAAAGATACAATAGTTCAAAAAAAAATTAGCGCCAACATTCACAATTCAAGAAATAAACTACCATTTTGTTTGAGACACATGATATTGTTACTGATCAAATAGAAAATACATGGATTTCGTATTCTGGCGAGACTATAATTTATAGACGACCCTTGAATGAACCATAAGTGACATTGAGGAATATTAGCCAATCAGAAGACAGTTCGTATGAAGTAAAATATATCATAAAAAACCAAAGAATTAAAGTGGATATAGTTCTTTTACATGGTTCAAAAGCCCCCAAATACCCTGGTACGGCTGACAGTTGGGAGAGTCCGCTCACCCTCTCGTAGCCACATGCATTTAGCCACTTCCAGGGAAGTCCTACTCATTGCCTTCTCGTGGCGGGGGTGTTTTTTACGAAATTGACAGGACGGAAAGCGAATGTACGGCGCTTTAACCGGGTTGGTGGACACGGTGAGTCCAACTAGGGGAGTTGGAAAACCCTGATTCCAAACAAATGGTGTACATGGGCTCCAGTATCCTGAGGGAACAAATGGCGTATGAACCAATCGTTGGTCACCGGCTACCATGGGAATGAATCGCCTTACGATGCTCCACTCCCTAGTAGATTAGACCTTTTAAATCGAAGGCTCTGGATGTGGCCCCCTAAGAAAACCACCTGTTTCGGTTTGGGCACCCGGACAGTATCACAGCCCTCACAACAATCAAATGAGATTTGTGTGGCGCATATGTATTTGGTGCCTCCTTATACCAATATCTGTGTGTTCAATTAATAATAATAATAATAACATGGCTCAAAAACTTATAAAGGTTTGAAAGAGGTTCAGAGGTTCTGAAATCGTAGTGCATACGGTAGAGGGACTCATTCAAATGGCTCTATAATAATCGACCTCTCGGGGCATGATAGCGCCTCGATCACATAGCTTCAATACTGTTAGTGTGCACTCCTGTTGTAGGGTCCACAAAATGGCGCTTGTTGACAACGACATGATGCACATATCCAAGTCTAGCCAGGCATCGGTAGGCTTTCCAATCATCCGCATAGATATTGGAACGCGGCTGCACGTATTCCCGTATAATTAGTATTATTGTCGTTGCTTATCGGTTCCTGACCTTTTGGAAGTGGCCCTTTTGGGTTGATCTGTCGTAAATCCCAAGTACCTGCGAGGTATATTTATGGAAGTGCTACTTACCCAGTCTTCCTTAATACTACGTCCTCTGTTAAATTTCAACTTCTTAGTAGTCCCATCTGTTGTAGCCGCTCAATTATCACGTCTTCTCTAAAATCTGCTGTAAACCGATCGTACATGAGCATCAGGTACCGAAATTGGCGCCGTAACCCTGGAATCCCCCAAACGCTTCTGATTGGCTTTTCCATAAATTATAGTCTCGCCGTTAACACGATCTTCGATAAGTAAGATTCTCTAATACGTTCATTGGTTCTTAATTGGAACAGTATATTACACTATACTTGAAGACTGCTATCAATTAGTATTCGGTTTCTGATACCATGAACTGAATCTGTCTGTTTATTTAGTTGACCCTAGACATTATACACTGATCTACATATATAGTAATAGGTATAAAGTGGTTGTAACGACCGAAATACCAATATTCCGTTTGAACACAGAACTAAATAAATAAAATTTATTCAATTAGACCAAGCTACGTTCTTCTGTATAGCATACAAAGCGTTTTGAGTGACTCGTATTAAATTACACTAAAACACAAACTCCACGTTCAATCTAAACGGTTCCAATTTAGTAAAGACAATAAATTATATCAAGTATACAAAACACCTCATACAGTACAGCCTGTGCTATACAGTCAAGGGTTTCTCTAACACAAAGTAACATGGCAAACAACAAAAGGAATACTTAGTAAACAAAGGTTTGATACCTGCGAATCAAAAAAATATTTCTAACAAGATGAGATCAGATATCTATCTGCAAAGATTCGAGAAAACTTTCCAAGCAGACAGAGGATAAGTCATACACTGAAGTACACCTTGACCTTGAGTTTAGTCAAACGTGACCTTATTATCAACAGTCCGGCAACGCACAACAGTATATTATATAATAAAAGATATATCTTTAACCAGGATCAAATAACAAAGGACTGGACAAGGAAGAGTGGAGAACATAAAGTGTGGTTAACAAGGAACTGAATGAAGGTGAAGATGCACGACAAGGAGAAGAAACAAATAAATGACAGTACTGTTCAATAAAATGCTCTGGAGAGATTTTCAAAGCATTCATTCCATTACAGGGATAGTTAACATTAGCCGGTTTACTATTCTCTAACTAGTATCCTACATCTAACATAACTCACCGTTATCATCGGTGCTTTAGAAACATCTTTTCTATAATATTGATAACCTACGCCTATCTTCGATCCACAAAAAGGTCACTACATTAAGCCACAATTCTCATAATTACAAAGCTACTATGTGGCATTTTTCCTACTCTAGTCATATTTGTATTGAAAACGAACATTTAAATCATTTTCATTAATAAATCCACTTTCTGTTAAATAACCAGTTATGTTTGAATGAATGCATAATTAGCAGATAAAAAAGAGAACAATCCCTAACCATATCAAGAAGACGAGATTTGTAGGTTGAGTTTAATAAGACTAACATATTAATCGAAATCAGAGTGAATACATTCTGGAAACATGTGAATATATATAGTTGATGACATAAACAGTAAACCCGATAGTGATAGAATATAATCCACACACTATACAATATTTTCTAGACATCAAATTTGCAGAATGCATTATATTAATATGTGTATAAGTAATAGTTGGATGTACAGGAACGGAGTTTTAAGTATCGGATACGCAAATACACACAAACCATAGTCCAGTTTGATTACACAGCTTCACTCCTGATTTCCATCATGAGGACCAGTTTCCGACGACTTCCTAGGACAACGGATAAATAATTTGGAGCAACAAAATAACAAATGTGACACTTCTTACAAAAAGAATTAGCTGATGATTCAGTGAATCTTTACCAACCGAAGCAGATGCGTAGGAGTACCTTGGAGGAAGCATAAGGACAGTTAAACTAATAATTGGCGTCAATTAACGACGTTTTTGACATTTTGACCAACCCACGTTGGTAAAGACGCATTACATGGTTGAAGAAGCGATATTCGGTAAACAAGTCTGACCAGTTGGTCGGGATTAGTGAAAATGATTCAGTCAGTCGACATAGTCCATGCGCATGTTTCTTTCCCCTTGTAGATCCCAAACTCGACATGGTTTCACAGCTATTATTCTTCAATTTTATCCCTCCTTTAAAGATCGAACTTCCTAGGTTGTCTTTCACACTAATCATCGACAGTACTATGATTATTCCGAAGTTTGCTACTTGTCTTGTTAATATTGTCTGTAATGTATTAAAATAGTGTAACTGTGAATGATGTACATTTATGCCATGAACTACATTGAATCTAACTAGTAACTATTTGTAAGAAAATATCCTCTGTTTATATATCACCTACTGAACGATTCAGTTTGATAGATAAATTTTCAGTGCTATTATTATTGTTGAATATATATTTCCGTACAAATAATAAAACCAAAAAAATCTATACTTCCTACTGACCATGGTATTTTTAGTCGTTATAATTCAATACATTTTGACTTTATGCATCTATGAATCGCATTTTAATCAGTTTGTTTCTAGTCATGGGTTTCATCTAGTATACTGATCAGAGAAAAAGTATAGCGAATTGACTCGATGTTCGTTCCGTTTAGCATAGTGCATTTATCGGTATCAGTTGTCTGGAACAATTCGCTTTCAGAAACATATCAGTTAATTGACTGACACTTTATGTATTAATATTAGTCATAATTTTCATGTGAGAGCGACTCTACCTGACGACCTGATCCGAAGTAGATGAGGTGATGTTCAAACCTGCGACCCGAATTCCAATATTCTAACCAATATCAGCTCTTGATGACTTAGGAAATTTTCTAAATATTACTAACTGAATATCTTTACGCTCAATAAACAAACTACTATTTTGCCATAAATTTTTTATAACAGCAGTTTTTTTCATTTACAAGATTTTGTTTACCAATGGCCTACCGATATTGTATCGTTTGCGTACTATGGAATCCCATAAAGCTTATACCGTTGGAGATTCTTTAATAACAATAATATCAGAGGTTATTTATCTTAGTGTAACGTTTTCTTCTAATCTCTCTTGGTCTCCTAATGTTTCATTGTTATCGAAGAAAGTTTCTCGTCTGACTTACCACATGAAGAAGCTGTATGATTTTGGCAATAATCGACACTTACTTTTGCGATTTGTTAATTCTTGTATATTACCTAATATTCTATACTTTTCTCCATTATTCTTTACCGGGCTTTTGATAAAAAACTTTGCTTTATTGCAGTAAGTGCTGAAAGCAGTTAGCAAGGGGTGTGATCAATCTGTCGAGGTCATTATCAGTATGGATATGAATAGATATTTAAAATCTACCAAACTCTTAGTAATCGTTATCTTATTAAATATTAATCATCTACTTCATTTATACCTCTCATTGTATATCTTATGGTAAAACGATGCGCTAATATATTAGAATGTATACACTCGAGGGAAGATAATGAAAGCTCAACAATAACTTATTCAGCAAATATTCTATGTAATGAACAGGTTGTTAGAGTTGACCTAGTTAATAACTTCTACTCTTAAACACGCTTCTTATGTAAAGTTGTACAGATTCTAATTGTATTGAAAAAAGAAACATTTCACTTAATTTCAGGTAATTTACTTAATTTATGTATATATGTATATAGTTATTGTATTTTTGTTTTGTTTTGTTTTGTTAAAGAAACTTGTTGAAATACTTTATGCTGAGAATTCTATATTCTACCAAATATATATTGAATAAGGCCATTAATAATAATGTGTTTTGAGCATACAACACCTGTAATTAATTGAGATCTGTATCTGATAAAGTGAAGTTGGAAAAATAAGCTTTTAGAGAGCCGTATACAAAAGAGTGATAGTACAATTTCTTACATGAACTTCAGTCAGCGATACTCAACACAAACAATAATTCTCATAAGAACATATGACAATATCACAAACAAATAATAATCAGAATTGCATAACCAATACGGGAAAAAGTTCAATGACTATGAATGTATACATATAAATTGACTTACCCGCTCCAAATAACAAAATCCGGTGTTTTAGCAAATAACATTCTAGTTGCATTGATTGCATTTAAAGCAAGTTTGAGTGGAGAATCACAAGAATAATTACCATATGGAAGATTACATGATTTATTTACATATTTTAAATCACAGTGAATATCACTTAAATGCCAAAAGTAACCTAAAATCAGTAAGGAAGATACAAATTTAAGCTTTTCTCTATCACTTTTATAAAGAAAAACAGTACCTAATTAGAACAACACAGATATTGAATAGTTAAAGATGGAAATATATGACCAATGGAAAAAGTGACGATTAAACATTAATCCATTGTGGCGTATCATCCAATAGTTAATCGACTGAAAGTGAATATTTGGCGCTGTTAGCTAAAACATCCATCTTTTAACTAGTAGTGAGTCACTAGCTTGAATCGTTGTTCAGTCAACATCAACATAGGAGCTGACACTACTGAGTAATTTCAAGTTGCCACACATGTTAGCATAGTGAGAAATCAGTGAGATGGAAAAAAACAGATTGGAAACAATACCGAATGCAGTTTGAGTTCGAATTCCACAACGAGCATCAGATCCCTCAAGATCCCAGGTGCCTCAAGCTAACAGATACTAACTTTTAAAGAACCTAGGTTCGATGTCGCCAGTCAAATACCTGCAACCGCATCACATTAAAACAGTCTACGATATGTTAAGTCACTTAGATTAATGGCCATACTGCAACTTAATTAACGGGATTTGATCAGTACAAAAAACAAGACATAATACCGATTATTACTCAATAATCGGTTAATATAAGCATCTTAATCCTAAAGGACTTCTTGACTCAAATAATTCAGTGGTAATATTTCAGTCTGTGGAGCTTGGTCGCGCAAGTCCGAACTCCATGTGAAGCACCAGTTCCCTTCAGATTGTATGAAATTTAGGTCCAGAGCCTCCTGGAAATTAAACTTAGCTACACAACATCAAACCCAAACATCAGAAATCCCGTATTTGAGGGAGCGAATGAGACCGAATAATAAGAAGCTAAAAGGAATACAAATCAAGATTTGGATAAAAGTAGAAAATAAATATTAATGAGCAACACAAACCATATCTTAACAGTACCAACTTAACAGTTACACTATATCCGAGTAGTGCTTTGGAAACATTTATGGTCGAATTACGTATCGAATTAACCTTCAAAAACCATGTTTACGAAGCCATGCAGTAGTACACGGGAAAAGGTTGAGCATTACAATAGCTCTGAAAGGCTGAGTGGTATTTCGCCTGGAATACATGTGCGATCAGTGTTTGAAAAGTCTGATAAAGAAATTCACATCTAAAAGGAACATTTAGGATAGTTAGGTGGAAATAGATGTTATGCCGAAGTGAATACCACAAGCTCCGACTGGACTTTAGTAAGTATATGTATTTCTTTGCTGCTATTCAGTAAAAATAAACATAAAACCTCCCAGTTAATGGTGTTAAATACCCTCTTTAAGTGAGGGAACACGACTATAGTTGAACCCATATAAGAATTTGTATTTTGAGACCCATCAACAGGCTAAGACTTGATTATCACCTTTACCGACAAGTGGGAGGCTCTTTAACTGCTCTGGATTTACAGTTCTCGAACACCAGTCAGGCATGAAGCGATCACGAAACTGCATCAGCTAAATAGTTTACAAGTATGACAAGTTAGACCGAGACCAGAAAAAGTAGGACACATTTTTGATACAATCATCCAACCAAGTTTTGCCAATGTCTAAAAAACAGCACATAAGAATTAAGCCAGACTTTAGGGCCGAAGTAGGTTGTAAATTAATGCAAAGAATTAGGATTTTAATTTGGTAGTTAAGAATCATGATTACAGTTTTCCACACAAAATGACACCTCAGTATTGCGTGGTTGAGATACCTTGATCGTCAATTTATCTGAAATTAGTTTTAACGACAACTACTGACAGCAGCCAACTCTAAATCAAAATTGAACTTGATTGAGAAGAACAAGATACTCCCATATGTGTAGTGATAGTGATAGCAAAAGAAAACACAATTCCGATACATCCTGTTTCGGAGTATGCATCTATTCTGTTTTCCCACAAATTCGGTAAGACACAACTATGCCTTGAAATAAGGAATCTCGGTGAAACTCTAATTTATGGACGACCTTTGAACGAATTTTTAAGTGACCTTGAGTACATTAGCCAATCAGAAGAGAGTTAGTATAAAGTAAAAATATATTATAAAAGAGTGATGTATTACAATGGATATTCTTCTTTTACATTATTTGAGAACTTGTTGAGGTTTGATATAGGTCCAGAAGTCTCGAAATCATAGTGCATGCGGTATAAGAACTCGTCCATATGACTATAATAATCGTCCTCTGAAGCCGTGGTAGGGTTTTAAAGAATACTTCAGCCTAGACCACATGCCCTCAATGTTGTTTGTATGGACCTCTCGTCGTTAGATCAAAGAAATGACGTTTATACACCACTACATGATGCACAAAACCAAGTCTGGAGAGGCATCTATACGCTTTCCTAACATCGGTATAGCCGCAGCTAATGTTACTGGAGACTTTATGATCCAATTTGCAACGATTATCATGGTTTGTCTTAGCCTTAGCCGTGACCGGGTAAAAAAAGTGCCAGTTCGAGCAGATTTTTTTCTACAACATATAGTACAACGAAATACAATGTCATCGCGGCAGTCTGCACATCGTGCTGCGGTCATTTAATTGCCGCAGTCACAGACACAGGAACTTCCTAATATTCCCATCTGCTGTAGTCTCTCAACGATCACCTATTCTCTAAAATCTGCTGTAAAACGATCGAATGTGAGCATCCCGCACTGAACTTAGCGCCATGACCTTGAAATTCCTTAAACGCTTCTGATTGGCTCGTCCATAAATTAGAGTCCTACCGGAATCTCATATTAAATAAGTTTTGCTTAATAATATAACCGGAGCTACTTAGATCGATTTAAAGCTTCTACCACTTGAAAACTAAAGATAAGTTTCCGACAATTTACTTGCAGAAGCCAAAATATCAACCTGTACAGACGTGTCAGTGCTCAACTGTATTCAATAACGAGTAAATGATATTAGGCAAATTTTATTTTAAATTGTCAGCATAACTCAACATAACTACTCAAGTATATCTGTAATCATAATACAGAATAAACATCATCCTTTAAATACCCAACTAAACTGCGATCCGTTAGTCTAAATCTGGTTGTGTCGTTTTAAGGAACATATCACTTCTATCTTAAATTTAAAGATAGAAGATCAAGTGACTAGCTCATAAAAATATGATTTCCGTCGCCAAAAGCTGATCCGCTCTTGTACTGCATTCTAAAAAACTTTTTAAAAATAAATGTAGCAAAATATTGTATTGTTCGGAATTTGTGATATACAAGATCAAATGGACTTACCAACGTCATCATCTTGTCTGGTAGCAGTCACAAGTAAAAATACTGTAACAGCCACAGTACTCAGGTGCAACATAACCAAAGTATGTTGTTCTGCTTCGTGAGCAGAAATTTATAAAATATAAAACCCAGATAGGCGATAGACTCCATAGGCCTTTTCAAATAGTAACGTAGCGCCTACTTCGGACATTGCGCGTAGTGATGTTCAACGTACCCAATGTACAGGAACAACTGTCAGAAAACGATATAAGTATAATCTGGAGTAGACAGGATTCATAGGTTAATTTTCACTTATAATATCGATCTGAGATGTAGGACAGAGTTATTGGTTATAGGAAGGTACGATAGCTACCATATTCTACCTGAATGTAAAGAGAAGTAATTGGGGAGTAAAACTCAGATTAACTCCCTTAAATACTTCTAATATCACAAGTTGGTTGATTACAGCAGATAGCTAGACAAATATACTTTATTCTAGTAAGAAGCTAGATGTGTCAATTATGATTGTCGTATCACTAAACTCAAGTAATTAAGTATTCAGTTGATCATATCTACCAAATCATCTAATTTGGGCGGCATTGGTCCGTACTTATCAAGATACATAAAGCGTATTATGTTCGCCGCATTCTGAAGTGGTCTAAACAACTTGATGATAATTGATAAACACTTCAACGTCCTCTGATCAGTCTCTTAATGTATTAAAGATCCACATTAGGAAATCGCTTGGTTGGGGCTCAGCAATATTTCACTAATCATAGGACTTCTTCATTTCGGCTTGCTTTTCAAAATACCTGGTCCCGTACATGAAGTATTGATTTTTAGTTCCTACAAGATAAATTTACTTGACAAAAGTTCCCTTGATTCAGCACGAAACCACTTGAAACTATACGAATCACTGACTCTACTGCTATTATTTATTCTCAAGTATATACAAATACATCATATGGTTGCCCATCCATCAGAAAGAAGAGATATACTGGCCTGAGATTTGACTCCATATGGTCGAATGATACTGAGGTCCATGAAATACATATCCTACTTCGTATATAATCCTTAAACATGTTACGACAATAACAACATGGAAATAAAGGGTAAAAAAAGTGAAGTATTCCAGAAAATCATGCTTCAAACATTCAGCGGTTTGGAGAAACCTTAGGAGACAGCACATATGCATGTGAAACTGAGTAGCATAGGTAGCCATCTCCGTGAATAATGAGCTACTCAGTCGTCATGAGCATGAAAGAGGTTATTTATTTATTTATTTGAACACATGAATATTGGTATAAGAGAGCGCCAATATATATTCGCCACACAAAACACTGAGAATTTGAAGAGAAATAGAAAAGAAAAAAGCTAAGGAGCGCAAAATAAAAGGTAACAATAACGAGGAGATTGGTGTAAGGTAGTATGGTAGAAATGAGGGAACGGAAAGGTACAATCAGAAGAAATCTTTCAGGTAAGGGAGACACAACCACTTTTTATGAAGAAAGTAAAAGAAGGTTACAGCAGGATCGCCACTGATTTCTATTCTGAGCCATATCTGATAACGTCTCTAGCCACTGTGTTGCACCATCTCTCAGACCCCAACCAGGGAGTCGTGAAGGACCGACAGAAGCCAGTCCTTTGCAGCTTTCTTTCATACCACGACACCATGTCATGCACTGACCACCTCTCCGCTTCTTCCAACCAGTCCCAGAGTCGGCAAATAATGCACGACGTGGAATTCTCTGGGACGACATTCGGAGAACATGTCCAAGCCACCGAAGTCGGTGTTTCAAGATGGTGACACCAATTGAATTATTATCTTTGTGCCCGAACACACGATGCCGAACCTCTGCATTACTGACATGGTGTTGCCACTGAATGTCAGCAATCCTTCGGAGACAGCGATGATCGAACACAGAGAGTCGTCTAACGTCCTCAACTCGGAGAGGCCAGGTTTCACAAGCATAGAGCAAAACTGCTCTCACCGACGCGTTGTAGATCCGGCCTTTTACAGCCAGACTAACATCACGAAGGCGCCAAAGATGGCCCAGATTGGCATAAGCCGCTCTGGCTTTCACTATTCGTGCATTGATCTCATCACTCACACCCCCACCAGCACTTATGCAGCTACCCAGATACACGAACTTCTCGACTACGTCTATCTGCTCACCATCCAGGGTGAGTACAGGATTGGAATCCTTACAGTCTTGTAGAAGTACTTCGCACTTAGAAGGTGCAAAGCACATACCATACCTACGGACACTGATTGCCAACTGATTAAGTGCGGATTGCATGCCTTGGGCATTATCGCACAGTAAGACAATATCATCCGCATACTCAAGGTCGAGAAGTCTTTCTCCAGACAACAGATCCACACCACCATTACTTACATTCATCAGAGCTGTTTCCAGAATGCCATCGATAGCAAAGTTGAAGAGGAATGGTGAGCTTGGGCAACCCTGACTAACCCCACTGCTCGAATGGAACAATGGAGAGAGGTGGTTGTATGCCCTCACTCTGCCTGAGGTGTTTGTATATAGGGCTTTTAGGATGTTAATAAACTTCTCATGCACACCCTTCTTCAACTGACAATCCTAGAGAACAGTAATATCCAACGGATCGAAGGCAGCCCTGATGTCAAGAAACACTACGATTGTTGGGCTTTGAAAAGTATGGCGGTGTTTTAACATTTGGCGGAGGGTAAAGATATGATCAATACATCCTCGACCAGAACGAAACCCAGCCTCCTCCTCGCGAGTCAATCTTTCTCGGGTTTTGAACAACCTACGAAGTATGACGGAAGCCAATAGCTTGGACGCAATCGGAAGTAGACTTATCCCCCGATAGTTGTTACAGGAACGACATGAACCCTTTTTAAAGATAGGGACAACTATCGACTCATTCCATGACGTTGGTACACTCTCTAGTTTCCAAACCTTTGTAAACAACGTCGTCAATTCCTTAGTCAAAACGTCACCACCATCTTTAAAACGGGCCGGAGGTAAGTCATCTGGGCCAGGTGATTTGTAACGCTTCAAGAGTTGGAGTTCCTTGCGGACTTCCTCCTCATTTGGTGGGTCAGTCGTCACCGGCCATGGAGGGCAGGACAGTCTGACCGATGTTGCCGGAGCAGCAGGCCAGTTGAACTGCCCTTCGAAAAATTCTGCCCATCGTCCAAGACGTCGATGGATGTTAGTGATTGGCATCCCATCATCCTCGCAGATTGTTTCACTCACACCAGACGTTTTGCTGCCAGTGGCTCGATGAGTTGGAAGAGCTTCCGGTAGTTACCAGATGCAGCTGCTGCTTCCAGCTCATTAGCACGCTTCGATCACCAGGCTTCTCGGTCCTTACGCAAGCCTTGCCCTATTTCATTACGTAACATCCTTCGTTTATGGTCAAACTCACGGTCACCCGGAGTAGACCGACGGGCTTCAATGAGTTGTAAGGAACCAGAAGAAACCCAGTGCTTAAAAGCGGGACGTTTCGCAAACCCACAACTGACTGTACCCGCCATTTTCATGGCGTCATGTAATTGCAACCAATGCTCATCTATACTTTTCGGTGGAGTGGCAGCTAGCCTAGAGGCTAGCTCGGTTTGATACTTACCTGCAACGGAAGTTGCAACCAGCTTGCTAATATCAATCCTTTGCTGGCGGTCACTTCGTTGTCCACTGAAAAGTGAGGCAAGATTGGCGCAGACCAAGGCATGGTCAGAGTCCAGATAGGTACTCCAGAAGGAGCGGTAGTCTTGTACACAACCACGCCAGCGGTAGCTGATCGCGATGTGATCAATCTGAGTCCAGGCTTGAGATGCAGAGGGAGGATGCCAGGTGGCACATCGGCGATGACTGTGCCGAAAGTTAGTGCTAGCCAGAAACAGGTTGTGGTCTGTGCAAAGTTGCATTAGACGGTTCCCGTTATCTGACCTGCGACCAACGAGTCCCCATCGGCCACCTAAACGACTCTCTTCTGTGCCTAGACGCCCGACCTGAGCATTCAAGTCTCCGGCTAGATAACTGGTGGTAAAACTCATCCTTGATTGCATCCGGGCTGCAATCTGTCGGAGCATAGGCGGAGATGACGAAAAGACATCGTTTCTCACGCCGATTTCTTCTCACTTTGATGGAACTTTCTAATCTAACAGCACATAACCGACTGTTAATGGGGATCCAATCGACTAGTGCTGCCTCAGCTCTAGCGCTTAGTGCGACACCAACGCCAGCAAGACCAGACGAAGATGCCACAGAGTCCCAGGATAAGCGCACGTAAAACAAGCTTTTCGAAGCGACAGATGAAGAGCGAATCTGTAGTTCTTCACCAGAGTCTTGAATACGGGTCTCGGATAGACAACAAACATCAATATTAAGACTTCCCAAAGACATAGCCAACCCTATCTGTTGTCCAACCTGCATAAGTGTGCGGACGTTGAAGGCAGCCAGTTTGAATGGTGCACGTGGTTTCAGTAAAACTGCTTCAGTACTCATATGCAGTGGTAACATACAATTTTCAACCGGACTGTGACTCGAGAACGTTTAGATACAGTCGAATTTCCACCAAAGACGAGCCGCTGTATAAGTATAAAAGAAGGTGAATAATGTGGAAAGTAATAGTAATAATAATAATGACAATAATAGTAATAATAATAATAGTATTAATAATGACAATAATTGTAATGATAATAATTTGAATCAATTGATTGTTTTTCGAAGCGAGAAAAGTAATTTCCATAAACATAGAGAGTTCATCATTTGTGTGTGGGCTGTGATACTGCCCGAGTGCCCAAACCAAAGCAGGTGGTTATCTTAGGGGGCCACTCCCCGAGCCTTTGGCCCAAAGGTCTAACCAACAAGGCAGTGGAGCATCGTAAGGAGATGCAGTCCCATGGTAGCCGGTGACTAACGAGTGGTTCATACGCCATTAGTTTTTGGTGGTGTTTTGTTCTCTGAGCTGGATGGTTTGGTCGTGGAGCTTTCATCGTTCTTCTAAACGACATCATCAGCACAAACTTCAGATAGAAGTGAAGTGTTCGAATTTCTTCATATGTGTTTCACAGCTTGTTCTGTGCACTTCGATGTTGATTGGTTCTTGTTGACCTTAAATTTATCATTGTTTACTTCTTTGTTTTGGTTGTGTCTCCCATTGGTTTGATTTTTGTTCCTATATTTATGCATGATTTTCCTGATTGGTTGATAAATTGGATTGATTTCAATAT